CTAGAGATTTGCCTAATAAGCCCTAGCATGTGCATAGCTTCTTCTCGCTAGAAATTAGGTGAGATTTAGTTCTTCTTCTTCCTTTTAAGTTTGATTTAAAGATTTATAGGCTAATGGCTCTAAAAATCATGATCAAATCCAAATCTTACTATTGTTGTTTTCCCCAATTTTCTGGTATATGTCAGGTTTTGTACAGTGTAACAGGAGGCCTCCATTTTCCAACATTTTCTGGTAAGAAATCAGCCATATTGCTCATCTTTTCATCTTTGATTTGAATTCGGTTAATTCTAATCCTTTAGAGTTTTTAATTTTGGGATTGTTTTTGTAGTTTTCCTCGATTTTTCCCATAATCTAGCACCATCAAAATCTAATCCTTTTTGTTGGAAATTTTGACAACATAGCCTTGCATTAGTGTTTTACCCATAACTCTTACTGTAAATATCGCATTAAGTCCATTCTTAATTCTATGGAAAGTTAAGAGATAACTTTATAATTTCTCTGTTGGATGTTTAACCTAATTAAATTGTTGTCAAGGTGAAAACTTTGCTGCAACATTCGGTTCCTTAAGGCGGATGGTACTGGTAACCCAACCTTATGTTAGTATTCTAATTATAAGTTTCTTTGTAGTTGTCGAATTAAGGTGATTTTTGATCCTATAGAAAGCTCAGACAGAGGGCTATAGTTGATCTGTTAACCATTCAGCCACGATTGGTCAAGTTCTAGGTGCAAATTCTATTGGAACTTCTGGTCCAAAATCTAACCAGAACTTGCCCTCAATAGTGCCCAAAAATCTACTCTATTTTCTGCTCTATTCCCACATTATCTATTACCACGTTGCATCATGGTTTTACTAAACTTTAGCTATTGTTTTTCTGCTTTAAAGCCATTTGTTATTGCTCTATTTTGCTATTGAAATCTTGCTACATTAATTTTAGCTCTTTCCACTAAAACCTATCTTGAATCACAAGTTTTTCTTGCTTAAATTTTGTATGAAACAGTCCTAAACAACAAAGAAATTTTAGCTATGGTTAGTTGTTATTTCAACTTAATATTTGTCCTATTTTCATGTTAGAAAGCATGCAATTATGTTAGTTAAAATCTACCTTTCTGTATTTGGCTTTAAATGTAGTTTCTGTAATTGTGCTGTTTTGTCTTGGAAATTCTCATTGTTTTGGAAATTCTCATTGTTTTGGCTGCCTTTTTGCTGCTACATTTCTACTTAAATGCTGTCCATTTTTGCCTAGTTTTGGCTTGTATTTTACCCTATTTTGTTGTTGTCTTTTTGCCTAGAAATCCATGATGTTTAAGGTTTTTTCTAAACATCTTGGGACTATTTTAAATGGCAAAAAACCCCCCACCTTGCTGCCCAGCTTTTGTGCTATCGTTTGGGGTAGTTTTAAGCTTGAATTCTCACATTTTTCCACTTTATTCTACCTAGAAAATTTTTTTGGAATACTTATTGTTTCGTGTGATATTTGAAGCTGTTTTAAGCCTATTTTAAGTATGATTAAACATATTAAAATATTAATAAGGTTTCAAAGGGTAGACGTGATCGGGAGGTGTAGGAGAAAGTTGTTTTTTTGGTTAGGAACTTGATTATGGAATTAGGAACCAAATAGGTTAAATGGAGTATGTTGTAATCTTAATTATTCATTTGATGTGGTATAGGTTCTAAATAACCTTAGCTACCTTAAGTTCTTGAATTCTTGTTAGTTGCCTACTTACAAGGCGAGGTAAGTAAAATTATGATAATTGCCCTTGGATTTTAAAGTAAAGGTTTTAAAAGCATATTTTGAATTGTTTTTGAGATGATAGTAGGACCTAAACTGATTTTTTCAATAGTACATGAGCATGACAAGTTTGAAATGAAGTTGTCATTATTTTTATTGAGTTAAGCATGCCTACATGGAGTTTACTTGTTTGTTCTGGAAATTTGAAATTGGTTTATAAGTCATGATTTTCTTATTAACTCCTACATATTTGTAAATTATGAATTTTCTTGTTCAACTTCCACATGATTTTGTCTCTAATATGGTTATGATTCCTGAAGCCCATCAATGAGAGTTGTAAACACTGGCACATGTCGACATGTACTCTTAAAAACCAGTTATTTTGATTTATTCATGTTATTCCTACCAGTGGGATAGTACATTGGTTATTCTTGCCTGTGGGACAATACATTGGTTATTCCTAATGCCTACTGGTGGGAGTTTGTTAAACACTGGCCATGACTAATTGAGGGAACCACTATTGAGTTTTACTCTATGTTAATGGTTTATAATTGAGATTTTTCCTTTGGTTTATGTTATGAATTGTTTATTTAGCATGTTTTAACTTTAAATAAGGGCTACCAATATTTTTATTTATTGAGTTACCTCACATAGTTTTTCCTTGTCCACCATTTCAAGTAGTGAGATCCAAGCCATGGGACACCAAAAGAAGTGACGAGCTAGAACACTAGCCATCTGCATTTTGGACTTAGATTATTTTGGAGTTAGGCCACAAGTCACATATATTTTTGAACATAGATGTTGGAAGATAAATCATTCTTTTGTAGACTATATCCCCTTGGAGATAGTCATGACCTTATTGATGGAGTTGTATGATTTTTTGTGCACTTTTAGCCTATTCAAACCTTGGTCATTGAAAGCTAGATTTTACTTGAGATTTGGGATCTAAGTTTATGTGAGTTGCTAGTTATGTATTAAGGAGGTTCTAAGCCTTATGAATATGTGGGATCCTCTCACAAGTGTACGGTGTTTGTTTCGCTTCCAGTTCTAGGGCATGACATATACAATGAAGAATGTCTAAAACTTGTTTTAAGATTTCTACCAATCATATTTATACCCCCTTGGTGAAAAATAGTTTTTTCTAGTAGTTAGGGTGCATTAATGTCCTATAGATCACTTTAAGTCCAAGAAAACATTTTGCAAACTTAGTTGTTAAAGCTAGTTATACCTTCAGAGCATGCTATGCAAAGTTGGCTAACTTGGTCCATCTGCACTTTCTATTTTTTTGTTGAGTCGGTTACAAAACACAAAGTCGACTTAAGAAACTTGACTTCAAATATTAAAATTTTTTTAAAGAGTTTGATCGTTGAGCATTATATGCAGCACCATAGCTAGCTACAGAGTCATAGTTGGCCCTGCATCCATTTTCCATATGCGCCAAACTACAATGTTGAACTTTCAACCTATAAAGCTAGTTGTAGCTTTCATAGCCAAATTTCTGCATTTTGCTTCACTAAAGCTAGCTACAGAATTGTAGAGTCGACTCTCTACACTTCATTAGGCTTTATGCATTCCTTCAGAGTTGGTAGCAAAAAATCATAGTCGGCTCTCTACACCAATTTCAACATTTTGGTTCTTTTTCAATGCAATATGAGTTCATTCACTCTTGCTAGCTTTCAAGTCATAAACTAAACACTTAGATAAACAAATTAGTAATTCAAGAGCATTTGTAATCATCAAAATCATAAGTACAACAAATTTTCTAGTATGAGATCAATCACATATTCACCTCTTCATTTTTAATTGGAATTGAGTTAATTCTAATCCTTTGTTTCTTTCGATTCTGGGGTAGTTTTCCATAGTTTAAAACAAAAAAAAAAAAAAATAAATGCATGACTTTTCTTATATTTGTCTTATTGAGAAATCTATTGTTTTCTTCAGTGGGATGTATTTAATAACTAATTAGTGAGTGGTTAAAGTAAGATTTTGTGCTTGCAACCTTAAATTAGACTAAACAAGCATTACATTTTAGAAGAAATTAAGAATGTTCAAACATGTGGCTTAATCAAAAGAAAGTACTTAGGTGGGAATACAATGTTGTTTTTTCAAGATGAGGCTAATTGATTTTGGGTTTTGCATGTTAAATGAAATTCCACTAGCAAAGCTAGTAATCTAAAAGTTACTTTATGATAAAATTTAGTCAAGGGTAAACAATTCATAAATTCCATTTCTTTAGTTATATGGTAGTCAAAGTCTCATGAGGGATGTCCTGGAAGTATATAGAATCTCATTTTATGTCCCATGCCTCCACTCCCATTTTATTTCTTGTCAAGTTATTCAATTTTAAACACCTGACAAGTACTTGAATAAAACCCTATAATAATTAAAAAAATAAAGTTAAGGCTTGCATCTAGTTTCTCATGAAGAGATTTCATATTTTTGTTGAGAAATAAGATTCCACTATATATAAAATTCTAGAATTCTAAGTTTAGCTTGTCTTAATTATGATAAGAGAATCCACTCTTATTTTTATTGGGTTCTTGATCATCTTTGCATTCATTGTTCTTGGTTCTTGTTTATCCACGAGCTGAGGTAAGTAAATTGATGGTTTTGTCCTTAATTTTAAGCATATTTTGAATTGTTTTAAAGTGGTAACGAGACTTAACATGTTTTATAATAGTCTGAGCATGACATGTTTACATATAAAATTTTTATATTTGTTATTTACCAAAAAGTTGAGCATGCCTTTTGTAATACGTCAAAATTTTTTAGTCTTAAAGTAATTACTAAAGGACTTAAGCAAAACAAATTTCAATTGGGGTGTTTTAATGATAGACAATCAAGTTGGACTAAATTGAGTTCAATTAAAAAGTTAGTGTTAAATTGCTAGAGTTTTGAACCATAAGGTAGGACTTTTATTTTTGTTTTTGTAAAAACATATTAAAAATAGGTTAAAAACCCAAATTTATACCCTTGCCTGCATTCCTCTATCTCCAAAACTCCACTCACCAAATCCCTAAGGACTCAAGGACTGCTTGGTTTCTCTTCTTCAATTCTTTCTATCAAATGGTGAGATTTTCATGCCTTTTTGAGAAAATTTCTTGAGGTTTCCTCTTTTCCCATTGAATTCAAGCATGGCAACCACCTTATTCTATTCCTTACCTCTGATTCTCCTTAGAATTTTGTGTAAAATTCTTGTGTTTAACCACTCAAATTCAGGCTTTGATTCCATCCATAGATGATAGATTTGCAAGTTTGGGTTTGAAATTTTAGGAAAGAACCACGTATCTAAACTACTTAAAACCTTGCTACATCAACTATAATACCCCTACTATTGCTGCATAAATATTGCTATAGAAACTGATAACATATGGTCTGAACCATTGCACTATTTATACTTGTCCAAATGTTTGATTTTGATATGAACTACCAGCCTGACATTGTGTCAGAATTTTGATCATAACTTTCTCTATAGATTTTGGATCAAAGTTATTCTTGATCCTATAAAAAGCTAAAATATAGAGTTACAATTGATTTGTTGACCATTTAACCTTGTTTGGTTGATTCAAGGCATGAATTTAGTTAAAAGTTCTAGTTTAGAATTTGACCAAAACTTGCTTTCAAATTCTTGCTGTTCTAGTCTCCAATTTTGCATTCCTTTGCTTGATTCTCTATCTTTTAACTTTGTGGTTATTAAACATTTTCAATATCCTAATTCTTGGTTCTTGCTAATCTTGATTATTTACAAAATAAGGTAAGTAATTGATTTACCGTTGTTGCCCTTGGTTTAAAACTAATATTTAAAGGTATATTTTAACTAATTTAAGGTGATGGCGAAACTTAACCTGTTTTATAATGATATTAGCATTACATATTTTGTTATAAAGTTTTTATATTTATTGTTTACTAAACGTTAAGTATTCAAAATCCCATCTTTGCTTTGCTGGTAAAGGAATTAAAAGAAGGTAAAAACGAACTTGAATTATTGTTAGTGAATCAATTTCTAGTAATTGCTTTCTATATGGCATGAATTAAAAGGACAAGAACAATTAAAGAATCTGATTTTCGAGTTAGAATGTAAAAACAAGAAGTTGATTCTCATGGTTTCAAGGAAAATTTATAAGAAATCAAAATGATCTTTTAGCTTATTAAGGAGAAGAGATTTGTCGTGGTAGTGGAGGAATAGAATGGAAGGGAGGCAGACGAAAAGAGGTGCATGACGATGAGAGAAATTGAGTGAGCGGCAAGAATTCTGAAGGGGAAGACAATCTGCCGCTCTTTTTTCAAAAAATAAAATAAAATAATATAAAAATTACAAAATGGTTCCCTATCATCCAAACAATAGGCAAGTTGACGTCAGAATTTACTCTTTTTCAATTTATGTCCATATTTCCTCTAAAATTCATTTGCGCCCTCAAACTAAAAATATTCCCAATTAAATCCCCAATTAAGTCTTTATAAGAATTTAAATGCTTAGGAAAAGACAAAAAGATACATATATCAGAGTGGTCCATAGATTATCATCAATAGTATATTATCCATCCAACACCCACTGTCAACATAAAAAATTTAAGCAATTTATTAAAACCCTAACTACAAATTATAAAGAGAAAAGGACAGCAAAAGCATACCTTACTATCTCCTCGTCTTGACCAGCAAAACACATTACCCACCCAACAACAGTTTTCCACTTCGATTCCTACCTTGAGATTCTCCCACAATGATATTGTCATGGTGACTTGAGATGGGAGATTAATGGGATTTGAGTATTTTGATTTTGATCTTTCAGACTTTCTTTTTTAATTAAAGTCAAATTTGAGAAATTTAGGTTTTTTTTAAGATTAATCAAAGTTCATGCAGGATTTTTCTTCTAATTAAGGGGGCTCCATCTGATATGTTGAAGGAAAAAAGGGGGCAAAGTGCCATGTAGAAAAAAAAAAAAAAATAGGCGAAAAGGGTTCCATGTCACCATTCAAGCAAAAGAGACTCTAGTGTGTTTTAGAATTTTAAGTTAACTCACTTTTATCAATTGAGTAATGGTGATGCAAAAATAAATTTTTTTATATAATTTTTATTTATTATAAATAAATAAATATATTTAATATTATAAATTTTAAATAAAAAATAAAATTAATTATTTAAATAATATATAAAATTATATTTAAAAATAATATAAAATATTACTTCTAAATCATATTTCTTCTAACTATTGCTTACATCCATGTCAAATATGGTCCAAAATATCACATCACCTGACATATGAGCAAATTTATATTTCTTTAATAATGACATGTAAATACATGTAAGCACAATTGTTGAGTTGGAAAACTAATTTCTCATTAATTAATCAAATATTTAAGGTTAAATCTCCACTTTAGTCCCTTTACTTTGACAAAAAAACCTTTTTCATCCCTCTACTTAAGAACAACTCCTTTTTCGATTTTTAAAGTTTGAAATTTGTCCTCATTTTAGTCCCTCTGTTAAATCTTCCTTATGCGACACGTTAAATCACAAAATTTTCAAAATAGGAAGACTAATAAAAGCTAAAAAGAGCCAAAAACAACTCTAATTTAGTCCCTCTACTTTGAAAAAAGGTTTATTTTTTTATCATTTTTTTTCGAAATTTGTCATTTAATATCAAAATTTAACAAAAAGACTAAAAAAGGATTGAATTTTAAACTTTATTACAAAAAAAAAGAAGCTTTTTTAATTAAAAGACTAAAAAAAGTGATTATTCGTCAAAATAGTAGTATCAAATTAGAGTTTTAGCCCATATATATTTAACTCTTTCATTTATAAAACCTCAGTACTTACATTACATCTTTCTCCGCCACATCCTTTTTCTTCATTTTCTCTCTCTCCTCCCTTCTCGAGATCTTCATCTTTTGGGGTATTGGAAACCCACAGGTTCCATGAAGAACCCAGATGAGAACCCAATTCCAGGTTCTCTCAAGGAACCCAATATGTGTTTTACGAACAATGCACCATTAACAGCCATGTGAACAAGAAGAATTCAGAGCTGAAATTGGAATCTAAGGAATCAACTCTGTGAATATATCAACAAGCTTCTACACATTGAATTCTTTAGATTCCAATTTTAGCTCCGAATTCTTGTTGACATTGCTCTTTGATGGTGGATTCTCCATGGAACCCAGATTGGGTTCCTTGAGAGAACGCGGGTTCCCAGTAACGCAAAAAGTATAAAGAATATAAATCTAATGATACGTCCAGTGACATGGCAATTTGGACGAATGAATAACAGGCACGCGTGGCACGTGAGCTTCAAGTATTCAATTGGTATCAAAACTCGACACTCGTGGTGTTCAGAGGCAAAGTGACGTATTCATGGTTCAAGACAAATCAATTTCTAAGTTTACAAGTTCAGGGGCAAATAGGTGATTTTCGTCCGTCCCTACCACAAAACTCGAGGGATGGATTTGGGAATTCGTTCCGCTGCATGTAAAAACCGTATCGAAGAAGGTAGTAACCAATTGTACTAAAAAATAGAAATGAGCATTCCATGCAATCAAAAACTTCTGAAGTTACTATTTCCTCTATATATCTGCACCATTCCAAAAAACTTGGGGTTAGCTTTCTCTCCTACACCTATACATGTTCCAAACTGTCCAAGTATCTACTGTTGCAATGCCTAAGCTAGAATTATCAGCAGCTACCTTAACAAAAGAACATTGTTTTGGCTACAGCCTTGTTCAACCTTGGCAACTCTGGAACTGGAATATTCCCTGATGATGTCATTGTTTTCTGTTCAGATGAGTTTTCCAAATCCTCAAACTTCAGAAATTGCCCCACCTGCTTTGCAGCAAGGTGAGCATAACATATAGGTGCCACTGTATGAAAAAGAAAACAGAAGAGTCAACAATTAAGTAATATAGGCAGGTAACTCGGACAAATTTCCTTCCATTGCGAAAAAGGTTGACGACTAAGTGTATTGACAATACCAATTGATATAGCAGTTGTACTCCTTTGGTACCTGGTTCAGTGAAATATTAAACTGTCAATCATAAAGTATTCAACTTTCTACTGACAGTGGAGAACTTAATACAGCTTTAAAGCTTACACGTATGAGAGGGAATGAATGAGGTTCTGCAAATCATCTGGACTAAAACCAATTTCGTCAAGCAAAACATGGTAATGTGCGGGCCTAGAAGTCCCCTATTGAAGTAAAAACATATCTGGATATTAGTTTGAGTCACTAATTAAGAGTTTTCAATAGCTCAAACACTATTAGAGAAAAGATTGTACGAGACAATTTAAACCCAAAAATGAATATGGAACTCACAATCATCCCTGCATGAGCACACATGTAGAAATCATAGTTTCTTGGGTGCACAATTTTTGTGTCAACAACTGTGCCTATCAAAAGAGAGTAAACAAACAAAGAAAAAGCTGGTAAATTAAAAAGGATAAAGTTGTATAGAGAGAGATAAAACAAAAGAATGTATATTACCTGGAGGAACATTTACAGGGTCTTTGGCTTGATTCGCTAGAAATAGCCTAGTGTGGTGATTCTTTTGAGTGACAATTACAGTGAACTTAGGCAGATAAACCTCACCAAGGTTCTGATATGCCTGCATAACCAGAAGTTATCAATCTCAAAACTGTCCAAGAAGAGGAGAAGCTTGCATGGTGGAATATGAATCCAGGAAACCTAATACCTCTTAACAAGGAAACATAGATTCAAAAGGGCAATAAAACCACATCTCTTCCTTAAAATACTACTGAACATAGAACTTTTTAAAATTTATTTCAATGGAAAATGAGCAGAGAGTAAATCAGGGTATCTCCAGAGAAACCAACCTTTATGATTTGCTCCACCTCAATGTTCAGAACTTGGTTAAATTGAGATTCACTTACTCCATCCCTATGGAAAAAAGGAGGAAAACCATTACAAAAGAAAAATAAAAGGAAAACACTAAGGCATATACATGCAAAAATGCATAGTTGTATTCATAATGTTCGACCACAATATCTGCTCTTCTCCCTTGTCCTATACAGCTTGCAAACACCTAACCTATCCAACATGCCTGTTTGAAACTGAATGAAATTTTTTAACAGGAACGCAGGGGCAAGGATGAGCAAGGGAGAAAGCTACCAAGGCCATCATATCATCATATGGAAGCATCCCATCACCAAAAACTGTTATGGAAAAACAGAAAAGAAAAAGAAAAAGCAAGGCCTCTTCATCAGAAAAATTCCCTGCTCATTATTTGTTAGTTTCTTTTGTAGAATGCTTTCTAGTAAAGTAGTAATGGATGAAGAGGCCTTGCTTCTCTCTTCCCTTTTCCTTGTTTTTTTTTTTTCTTATCCAAAAACAAAAAAAGCAAGGCCTCTTCATCCATTACTACTTTACTAGAAGGCATTCTACAAAAGAATCTAACAAATAATGAGCACAGAATTCAAAAACATGCAGAAACAAAAGGATATTTACTAGAGACGGGGTTACATTGGGTTGGACTGGACAGGGTATACCGCACCCTGCCAAATTAACCAATTCAAATAAGCAGTAAAGAGAACGGCACAAAGGGATTTGAATAATCCCCACCTCTCAACAATAACCACTCAAGAAAAGAAACAAGAGCAAGATCAAGCAATATATTTGTCCTGATCATCAAACTACTTTTACAAAAATTAGATAAACGATTTAATTTAAACTACCCTTTCAGCATACCTGAACAGAATGATCTGTTTTGGTTTGCAATGGTTGCTTGTTGCATAAAAGTCCATAAGCAGTTCTCTGTAAGAAATGCATATATCAAATTGCACAGGATATTGATCCCATTTTTTCATTCCAAAAGGCTCAAAAGTCAAAACACTAAAATGAAAAATGTAAAATATTGAAATTATTATTCACATAATGACACTTAAATATTAAGCCCTGTTAGAGACATTTTATTGTCAAGGTTCATGGATAATGGTTTTACTTAAAACTATTAAATACCTGATAATACCATCATCATGACCATTAGCTAACGGCTTATACAAAGACTCAATCATCTCTGCCCTTGGTGATTGTGTTCTCACAGAAGCTCTATAAATTGAAATTAGTGGCCAACATCGAGAGCCTACAACCTGAAAATTATAACAGATTAGAGCAGCGACAGCATGGCAATAGAGCAGAAGTTACAGGTATAACACTAGAGCAAACATGAATAAATCACCGCAGCTATTGAAGGGATATCTGCTCGACCAGGAGAGCCATGAGAAACATCCATTCCCAAAATCAATGTAGGAGTATCTTTCAACAAGGGGATGTTTGAGGGCCGCTCAATTGCCAACAAAGAATTTATTCCTCCAAGCTATAACAGAAAACAAACAAAAAGAAACAGTTAATGGTGCATTAAAATGAAAACAAGTACACAGAAATTTGTAAGATCCTATATTACCTTAGCATTGATTTTAAGGAGCACATTGGTGAGGTACTGATCATTGATTTTAAAAGGAGATATGCATTGAGTGACAACCCCGAAATTAACAAGACTCAACCTCTTCCATGGTCCTAGACAAAATAACAAAAAATTCACAAAATAATTCATTACAAGACAAATCTGATAAACAGGATAAAACCATACCATAAATATCAGAGTTTTTCCTCTCTGGCAAAACACACAAAATGAATTGAGGAGGGCCTTCTTTAAACTTAGACTTAAGCTGCTCAAACATCCTTTCCACCCTTGCAACAGGAGTGGCTCTCCTAAATTGTTGATCCTCCTCAACTAGCGTTTGGGGGCGTTCAATATGCTGTATGGATGTTAAGATGCATATATGTAACACAATGTAAGGCCAAACTTGAACCAATCTACGAAATAAAAAGCCCATCCAACTTACGATGCCCTTGTTTCTTCCACAGTTGATAAGCTCACGTGAAATAAAACTCATATCACAGCGAGCAGAAAAGTTGACGACACCCCAAGTTTCAATTTTTGTAGGATTTAGGAACATCTGCAGGTGGTAAGCAAAAACATCATAAACTACTAAATCAGCAGAAATATAATACATGAAAAAGAAAAAAAGAAAAAAAGATAGAATGAGGGGCTAATATAATTTCTCATAAAAGGCAAATTTAAGAATATAAAGAAAATCACCTTGTTGTTAAAGTTCCACCGTCCATTACGAGGTATGCAGTCCTCATTTCTACCAACCTTCAACTGTTAGTAAAAGAAGATATTAATTAAAAAGCACACAAATAATTCCTCCAAAAAACTACAGATGGGGTAACTGCCTATATCTTCATCTCCCCTCAACTACAATCCACTCCCAAAAATAAATAAATAAATAAATAAAAGAAAACCCTTCTCACACACAAACTCACCAAAAAGGAAAGGTGCAAAATTATGTACCTTAGGGGTCTCAAGGATACGGCCCTCAAATTGTGTCAGCTGCTTTTCAATGGAAATTCCACATGCAGCAAGCACTGGATCCTCATTATAGCCATGGCTTCTCAAAGCCTACCAGTTTAAAATATAAAAACATTTTGAAAAAATGCAAGAAAAATAAATTATTACTTGTTACAAGAAAACGGCAAAAGGTGCAGATTCCCTCTCAAAATTGTCACATAGAAGCAAATTCCTAGCCAAAAAAAAAGGGCCAAACTTCCTATTTGCACCTTGCACATTATTTTTTGCCACAGTCAACACCCTCCATAATTTGAAGCCACAAAAAACCCAAATTACCAACAAAGTCACGGTGCAAATAGGGGGTTTGACCATTAATTTTTGGGTTTTTTATGGGTTTTAAATTATAGAGGGTGTTGACCAGGAGTAAAAATTCTTGAGCACATTTAATGTGCAAAGCGCAAATAGGGGGTTTGACCAAAAATATGTTAATGCAATTTGCCAACCCAAAGTTTCATTTTCAAGAAGTCAACCCAAACTTAATGGTTACCATTAACTTTGCATTAGACTTAAACAGCAATAGTTTAACAGAGTTTAATAGTAACTGTTAAATTTGGGCCGATTTCCTGAATGGAAATTTGGGCTAACAAATTGCATCAACATTTTTTTGGGTGCTGATTTGCTTCAACTGACAATTTGGGGTGGCAATTTGCATATTTGGGCCAAGAAAAGCATACATCAGCTAGGATACGCATTCTTTCAGGAGGCTTTTGCCTTGACTTTTCCACCAGTGTTGCTCTTTGATTTGAAGATAGTGCTTTGGTATAGCGCTGCAATGAAACAAGGCTGCAGAGCTGGAAAACCCAAAAATTTCAGAATCTTAATTTGTTGAAAACACCAGAGTGAAGAATGAAAGAGACAACTGTATAAGGTGCAGACCTCCAGTGGTAAATAGTTGGGTCGTTTGGGTTTGCCAACATCAAGGCATGGCAGGTATGCAGAGTACTTAAGTTCTATGCCACAATGTTTAGTAAAATACTCATACACAGTGATCTCAACAGCATTCCCATTCTCATCATCACCATTTTTCACTTTCAGAGGAAAGCTAGGAGAGAAACAAACCAAAATTCCAAATCTATCTTCAGACAAGCACAAGAATGAGAACTTACAAAGAGGAAAAACTTTGTCCAGAAATTAGCACATACTATTGCTGGTTGCAGGGCTTCTCACTCAGACCTGTGATTTTATATTCTGTATTACGGTGCATTGTCTTAATCCTCATATTCTTCAACATTCTTTTCGCCTGCAGATTTTCAAAATTTAAATTTGTTAAGACCAGCACTGGTTCCACAAAATGCTGTGTATTTGTTTCCTACCTTCATCCAATCTATCTGACGAGGTTCCTGTACATTCTGATTTGTAATCAGAAAATTAATCACTGGTCCAGGTGTTAGAATCATTGTTGTAGATACATCTGCACAAAGATTTGATCGAAGCAACATCAAGGAAACAAGATGAAAGCAACACTGGAATAAAATATTTCACAAGAAAAAGAAAAAAGTACCCAAATTGAGAGACAAGCCCCTCTGTATGGCACGGAAGCTAGAGTGAAAACCTCGAACAGCTGATACACCGCCCCCAACATCAACAAAGTTCCTTGAATCATCATGAAAGAAGGATTGCCTGACCAAAAGACACCCCCTGTGTATCCAACAGTATACCTCAAATAACCAGCAACAAACTTATTCTACCAATCAGAGAAACAAAACAAACAAAAAATAACAGCAAGAAAGAGCATCGTTTACCTGTTAGCAGCTTGCTGCCGTAATATTATATCAAGCACTCTTAATGAATCTTGAGTGCTGTTATCTGCCTCAATTCCTTTTAGTGCAAGAGCTACAGGCTTGAAGGATATTGTTGCAGCATAGCTTATTCCAACCTTGTAACTCTTTGATCGGAAAGAATGCTTTGACCTCTTAGCATTTGCACCAGGGCTTCCACCATCAGGACTTCCTCTTTCACTATCAGATAAATGTGACCGTGACAAGTTTTAAGTCAGACATATTTGAGTACAGAATTAGAAAAACAAAGGGATTCTACGAGATATGACGTACCACTTTGCAAATGACTCCTCAAGTACCAAAGGATATTCTTGTTTAATTTGTGGCAAAGGACCGACAGTATAAAGGCTCCTCTCTCCATCATATGCAAACCGTTTCCCAGAAAAATCTGAGGTAAAAGTTTCATAAAGCGTATCAACCAGTTTTCTCCCAATTCCTTTTCCTTCTACAGCTTTATCATCTTCTGACAAAATAGTAACCTGGAAGCAATGAAGACATTAGTAAATTCAATTTAACCTTGGAAGATTATAAACTCCCACAAAAAAAAAAAGGGGGTGTAACACAAAGTTGAACATACATTATAGTGGTAAAACACTACATCAGGGGAACTAACTGAAACATTGAAGTGATTGCTTTGCAAAGATATAGGATGCCCACTTCTACCAACCCCATGCCTAGTGACAATAGAACGCTTTGGAGATTCCATTTCAGGTTTCACAGTGGCTGGTAGTTTTGGAGGTGGCGAGGGCAGTGATGCACATGCACCTGCTTCCTCAATAGCTGCTTCTTTCTCCATGTTCTATTCAAAAAATAAACTAGAGATAACCCAATAGGAACTACTAATGAAAGCAAATGCTCAATAGCAGCAACAGGTAAACATAAGAGTAGACAGCATATCAATAAGATCATGAAATGTAAGAATACCCAGAGAAAAACAAACAATAAATTGAATATTCCCAGGAAAGAAATAATAGAACACACAAAAATAAGTAAAAAAAACCACATATCAGAAGGTACTCACTGAAAATAAGGAAAAAAAAATCTGGAAATCAACAAAAAAATATAGATAAAAACACAATGAAATCACCAGAAAGCTCATGCAACCAGTAGCAGATGGAACACATACTGAAATCACACACACCAAAAATGAAAAAAGAAAAAAAAAAAAAAAAA